CAGTAGTCATAATATTGTGACAAAATAACTACTTAATTGTGACAGAAATCTTTGGTTGTAATATCTTATCAAAAATGTCACAGATTTTTGACAAATATTATTGGTATCAAAGTTTAGTCACAATATCTATATTTTCTTGTAGTGTAGTTCCTGGGCCAAGGAATCCAAAGAAGAGCATTGATATCTATTGCAGCCGTTAATTGACGAACTAAAAATTTTTTGGAGCGATGGAGTTGAAGCATATGATGTCTCAAAGAAGCAAAATTTTACGATGCGAGCTGCCCTAATGTGGATAATTAATGACTTTCCCGCTTACGGCATGATGTCCGGATGGATGACTCATGGCCGTTTAGCTTGTCCATATTATCTTGATGATACAAAGTCTTTTTGGTTGCAACATGGAAGGAAGCATAGCTGGTTTGACTGCCATAGAATGTTCTTGCTTAGGGAGAATCCTTACAGAAGAAATGTCCAAGCTTTTCGAAAGGGACATACAATAACTGATGATCCTCCACCATGGTTGACGGGAGAAGAAATTTTCCGCGAAAGAATCAACAATATCGAAGGACTGAAGAAAATTGTCAATTGTGGAGGAAATGGACACAAGAAACCTGCGAGCACTATAAACGGCTACGGAAAAGACCACATTTGGGTAAAGAAGAGTATCTTTTGGGAGTTTCCGTATTGGGGAAACCTTCTTCTTCGCCACAACCTAGACTTCATTCACGTTGAGAAAAATTTCTTTGATAATCTTATCAACACGGTGCTTAATGTTCCAAGGAAGACAAAAGATAATGAAAAATCGAGGATGGATATACCTGATTTGTGCAGACGGTCTGAGTTACATATGAAGGATGATGGAACGATGCCAGTCCCGATATTCTGGTTGTCTAAGGAGGAAAAAGAATAATTTCTGCGATGGTTGAAAAATGATATAAAATTTCCAGATGGGTACGCTTCAAAGTTTAGTAGGTGTATAGACGAGACGAATAGCAAAATTTCAGGTCTGAAAAGTCATGATTGTCACATCATTATGCAGCGACTTCTCCCGTTTGCATTTAAGGAATTACTTCTGAAAAGTGTTCACATTGCCATTTCAGGTACATAATCTTAATAATTAGTTTGATATGTGTTATTCTTGACTAATTCCTATTATTTTTTTGTAGAGATAGAACTTTTATTTTGTGATATCTCTACGAAGATACTTAAGCATGAAGATGTTGCCATTTTGAAAGAAAACATTGCAGTGAAGCTTTGCAATTTGGAGAAGATTTTTCCACCGTCTTTCTTCGATGTTATGGAACATCTGGTCGTACATTTAGCAGATGAAGCTGCTTTAGGTGGTCCCGTGCAATATAGATGGATGTATCCTTTTGAGCGATACATGTACCATCTGAAAAAGAAAGTTAAAAATAAGGCACACATTGGAGGTTCCATCGTTTCACAATATGTGAATGAAGAAATATCTACCGCTTCTGCTAACTTCTTTGGTAATCCACAAGTGGTACCTGAGGTTCCACTTCCTGGAGAAGTTCGGTTTACATATCAATATCCAGATGTGCCTAACTTGTTTTATCACGAAGGTCGGGTTAGTGGAAAATCTGTAGAGAAATGGCTAACCGATGATGACTACACCGTCCTCCAGACTATTCTGATGCTCAATTGTGATACATTCGAACCCTATGAAAGGTATTTTGATTTTTTTTTTGTTATTGTTTCAGGATATCTGAAATTATAATCTCTTTAAAAAATCCACAGGATGTTCGAGGTATTTATGATTGAGAGAAACCCATATATGTGTAGTAATGACCTACAAATACTGAAGACAAACAATTTGACGAATGGGTGAAAAACTATGTAAGTTTGAGATATTATTTGATTTATAATTTGAATGAAATTTATCAATTAGCGATATAAATTTAATTAACAGGTTGTCCCAGCGAGTAACACATATGAGTTTCCGATGTGGATGTTGGATGTTGTACAAGGTCCGCATGGTAAGTATAAATCTTGGCCGATTTACCATTCACATGGTTACTGCTTCCACACACATAGCCATGGCCAAGATAAGAAACCTAACATTACAGCGTCTAAGTTCGTGGAACCACATATACTGAGTATTACGGTTTGATCGAGGAGATAATGATGGTTGAGTATTTTGGTTCTGTTGGACTGAAAGCCATGGTTTTAAATGTAAGTGGTTTGATACAACTGAAGATCGGGGAATTCGAAAACATAAATCAGGAATCGTTGATGTGTCTCCGCGCTGGCAGTATGAGAAATATGATACATTTATCGTATCTGGTAATTGTGATCAAGTTTTTTTTATTCCTTATCCGCGGGTACGACATACATCAGCCAACGATTGGTGGACATGTACAAAAGTTATGCCTAGAGGGGTTCGAGAAACGTCTGAGGATGCTCTTGTTGCGTTACAAGATGATACACACAACCAAGTTGTTGCACAAAGCTGAATGTTGCGCATTGAGGCGTATGCTGTCGGAGATGATTCAGATTATGAATCCACGCCAGTTGTTCCTCCGAATGACGAATGCATTTCAGAAGATGATTAGATGAGACTTGTACTGATTCGGATTCAGAATCTGATTCAATTTCTTAGCAAATTTGTTGTTTATGAATTGTAGTATAAATAAGTAATCACTTAGTAATTTGTAATTTATGAATTTTAATAAATTTGTAAAATAAATAATTATTTATGAACTTTTCAAATTTATGTTTTTTTTTAAATTTGTGAAGTTTTTAAATTTATGAAGTTTGTAATATATAATATATTTATAGTTTATGAAGTTTAAAATTTGGAAATATAAAATAAGTAGATTTCTTAGTTTTAAAATGTTAATATATTTAAGTTTTTTTTAGTATCTTATATTCTTAAATTATAATTAATAGTTTTAAGATTTCATAAAAAAATACATTTTTTTCTAAAACCTAACTAAACCCTAAACATATTTCCCACTACATAATTAAGCCAAAAATTTCCCTCCAAAACCCAAAAACTATTTCCCTCTAAACCAAAATTTTCCTTCTTAACCAAGGCCCAATTTCTATACTTAGCCAAATATTTCCCCTCAACAATTCATCACGTGTCGCTCTCTTTCACTCGGAGTGTCTCTCCCTCTCAAATTACTCTCACATTACTCACAAACCCTCGCCGCCTCTCTCATTCTTTCTCGACACTCTCTCACAAATTCCTCTCCCTCTCTATCAACGATGGCTCCTTTGAACGGAATACCAGACGAATTCCGTCGTCGCCCCCGCTCTACCGGATTACAGCTCCCAGGTTAGTGAGCCCCTCGTCTCTGTCTCGATTCCTCTTCCATCTAGGGTTCATTGGGTTTCGATTTAGACTTCCTAGGGTTTCGATCTAGGTTTCGATTTACATCTAAAACCGTGGTTTTTTTCTTTCTAGTTTCGATTTTCATGTTTATCTAGGGTTTTGATTTCAAGTTTCGATTTTGACTTCCTAGGGTTTTGAATTCAAGTTTTGATTTTGATTTCAAGTTTCGATTTTGATTTCAAGTTTGGGTTTTAATTTTAAGTTTTGATTTTGACTTCCTAGGGTTTTGATTTCAAGTTTCGATATAAAACCGTGGGTTTTTTTTTCCCAGTTTCGATTTCAAGTTTTAGTTTTTGTTTAGTTAGGGTTTACATCTAAAAGTGTGGGTTTTTATTTCAAGTTTTGTTTTCGGTTTTTCTCCATTTCAAGTTTAAAATTTAAAGGTTGAAAATTTTGTTTTTTTTTGTTTTTCTGTCTACAAATATACGGCAAGAGAGACCTCAATTGACCTTATCGGAGTCTTCTGCCATGAGCCCATATTCTTTTCCTCCTGGAGTTGTACCTCCTGGATCTCTACCTCACGCTTCTGTCGGTTCTTCAAGTGCAGTGCCTGCGGCCCCTGTCCCTTATGTCAGGAGAAGAGAAGATGCTCTTCTACGTGCGCCATCCAGACGTAACCAGCCACACCTCCATCCTGACAAGCTCAATGGAGCATTATGGTAAGTTGAACTGTTAATGTTGAGTTGTAAATTTTTAGTTTTAAGTAGTTCTGTTAGTTTGGTCTTTATGGAAACCACTAATATTTTTAGTTAGGTAAAAAAAAATTGTATGCAAGGTTAATATATGATTTTTATCTGATGTAGATTAACCGTGTATTAGTAGATTAAGTGTAGAGTAAATATGTTTATTGTTTGATGAACCGTGTATCAGTAGATTAAGTGTAGAGTTTAATAAATGATTTTTGTTTGATGTTTGCCATTGTCTTGTCTCAGGTTTGGTATTGATCCTGAAGTCCATGCTTTTATCCGAGCAACATGGCAGGGAAACTACTGGTGGTCGTGGGCATCCTGGAACTTCGTTCCACCTGAGAAGAAGGATCAGTGGTGGCATGCGTTCACTGTAACTGCTTCTTTCTCTCTCCTTTTCCATTTCTCAACTATAAATAACAATTAGTGTTTAAATCTAATGACTTATGTTCTTTTGTAGCAACACTACTACTGGGATGACCAATTCCATGATGAAATCTACTTGACATGGAAGAAACAAACTAAGGTTACTGTCTGCGGCAGCATCAGCCAGAATAGGAGAAAGAACAAGCAACCTTCCTACATCTCAAACATTCACTGGACAACAATGGTTGAGAAGTACAGCACTGAGCAAGCAAAAAGGAAGAGTGCAAAAGCTCGTAAGTCTGCTTCAGAGGGGAAGAAGATGCACAAGCACGATGCAGGCCCACACTGTTTCTGTAACATTGGGTATAAAATGGTAAGTTTTTCCTTGAGTTTTTTTTCATAATTTTTTTTTGCCTTAAATGTTGTCTAACTTCCATTTGTTTCCTTTCTTATAGATGGTTTATGAAGGTTTAGATGAACCACCTTCATACACAACCCTTGCAAGGAAGACTCACACGGGTAAAGATGGTTCCTTCCAAGACGAACGTACAGAGGAACTTGTGCTGGAGGTTGAGCAGGCCATTGAAGAGATGTTACAAGATGGATCTCCACGTGGCGACAGTCAAACTGACTCTTCTGCTGCTTCAAATGCAAAGTGCTATCTTCTCAACCAAGAATACATCAAGGTCATTTCTTCTCTCATCCTCATTTTATTTATTTCAGCTTACTGGTTTAATACTTTGTTATTCAACTGTGATTGGAAATGCTTGTTATTGTCTAATTTAATTATTGGAAATGCTTGTGACTGTCTTAGTTAGTTATGGTGCTTGTGATTAGAAATGCTTGCTTATGATTAGTTTTCCTTTCTTTTTGCAGAGAGGGACGACAAAGAAGGGTACAGTCTACGGCCTTGGCAGTGTTCAGTACAAGAACTGCAGTGCTTTTGTGCCAATTCCTGTCTCACTGAAGCGCAACCTTGATGTGGATATGCGCATGTCTGGCTTCGAGACCACCATTTCTGAAGTCAAGGAAGACATTGCTGGAGTCAAGGAAGATTTCAATGCTTTGAAGACAGAGATCAATGCTTTCAAGACTGAAGTCACATGGGGGATGTCAGCAAGCCAAGCAACTCTCAACATGATTCTGCAAACTCTCCAATCTCAAGCTTCCACTCCTGCCTCAACTGCACAACCATTTCAGCCTCAAGCTCAGTCAGAACCTCAAGGTCAGCCCCAAGCTCCAATTCAGTCTCAAGCTCAGTCTACGGCTCCACCACAACAACTCACGATCAATAACCAAGCTGACTTAGATAGGTGGTGCTGAGAACTTGATATGTAAGGTTTACTCAGTTCATGTATTAAGCTAAAATATTTTGTGTACTTTGTTTCTAGTTGATGTATCTTTTGAATGTTTAAAACTGCAACTTCTATGTAATATATTTCTGTTTCAATGATATTTTGGCTTTTTATTCACATATTGCATTTTATATATATTTGTTTTTATAACTGATTTTTTTTATAATTTTTTAAATTAGCCACGAAATTCTTCGTTACTAAAACATAACATATGTCACGAAAGAAATCGTAGCAAAACTGTGTATATTGCTACATTACCTAGCGTATCAAACCGTAGCAAGTTACTCCAATTGTGGCAAACCTTGCCACGAAAAGTTTCGTAGGAAAACGTGGCACCTTGCTATGATTTTTGATACAAGCTCTTTTTGCTACGCTTATACGTACTTATACGTACGTTTTAAGTTTTTTCGTGGCAATTCGTGGTTTTTGCTCTGTATAACCACGAAATCTTGGTCATACCCACGAAAATTCACGTGGTTGTAGCGATGTTTTTTACTAGTGTTAGAGATCAAGCACGAGAATCCTAACTCAGAAATCATATGGAAAATGAATCGTGCAACCCTTGCGAGTACATCTACACTTGGGAGCTTAATTATGCACCTGTTAGGGATACATACAAGCTACTATCCTCAGAAAAACTTGGCTTTTCAACATGTCTCGCTGTTCCCCAAACTTATTTATCTTTTATATCGGTCTAACATACCTGATCCCTAGAGCATATGTTAGACTTCTTCTACATCATGTGTTCACTATATCAAAATCTGATTGAGTAATATAGTGGCTGGCCAAGCAAACACATATGTCAATATAAAAACTAATAGTTTTCCCTTCCAGTCTCATGTTTATCTGTTCTGAATTAACTGCTTTCTTAGCATGTCCCAAAAGGCTAATTATTCCATCGCCGTCGAAAAACATACTAAAGTAGTAGGAATTAATCCTTTCCTTCAACAACATAGCTTAAGGTTCAAGGGTAACTTTTTACAACCATAAATTGGTTGATAGGAACTCACATGCGAGGGATAGGGATTAAAATAAAATAATCGCTCGCTTCCTATATGGTCGTACATAGCACATGTAGTATGACAAACATGTCAAAGTGGTTAACTCTTCTCTTGAGAGTATGTGTCAATTATTTAATCAACTACCACTATGTGGATCAAGCCACTATCAGATCGCTCTCTAGCGCCTAATTCTCTACTTATCAAGCTCTTCCAAGTATTCATGATTCCGGGACAATCATGATCGATACGGAAAACATATCTCATCTTAACCTCTTGTTAGGACGACACTGATAAGTTTTACAAGGAAAGCTCCCACTAGCGCCCAACTAATCAAGTCTCATATCATCATTTCACTAAGAAATCTGAAGCGATTGTTTATGTGAGTGAAACAATCTCCTACTTGGTGACACCTCTTAACTTTTATGTGTAAGTATGCAAATCAAGTATATACCATTACATTTTTATAAATATATTTATATTAATACTAAATAAACGTCAAATACAATGTTACATGGCAAAGCTCCACTAGCACATACACTAAGTTCCACGCAAAACTAAAGCTCCAACATGAGCAAGAAAAACATCTCTAGGAATGTGTTTAGTAAACAGATCAGCTACCATTCTATGGGTATATATGTACTTAAGGACCACTTCTTTTTTTGCCACAATGTCTCTCACAAAAATATGTTTAATTTTAATGTGCTTTGTCCTCCCATGATACTTGGGATCCTTCATATAAGCAATACAAGCTTGACTATCACAATGGATAGTAGCAGGACACGAAGCCTCCGTTGTAACTTGTAAGCTTTGTAAGAATCTACTCAACCATACAGCCTCTTGCACTGATGCTGAACATGCAATGAACTCAACTTCCATCGTTGATAAAGCTGTGCAAGATTGCTTTAAGCTACTCCAAGTAATAACTCCATTACTCAACAAGAAAACATATCCTGAAGTTGATCTACGCTCATCCAGATCGCCAGCCTAATCGGCATCTGTATATCCCGTCAAGTGTAGATCACTTCCTTGATAACACAAAGAATAGTCCATGGTTCCTTTTAAGTATCTCAGGATCCTTTTCACTGCCATCCAGTGTTTCTTTCCAGGATTTGATTGGTAACGACTTACCAAGCCAACCGCATAACAAATATCCGGTCGAGTGCACATCATAGCATACATCAAGCTGCCTATAGCATAAGAACGAGAGTTCACTATGTTCCCAATCATCACCCATATTAAAATCATAGTACTATAAATTTATTTATTTCATACAAAATACTGAGTTCTAAACATTATAAAACTCCCACTATATTAAGTTCTAAACATAATAGAATTCCCACTGGATCAATGTATTAAACTAACATGAATTAACAAATAAAACATATTTTTTTTTAACAAAGATCATTTAAATTAAATTAATACTTAACTAATTTAATTTCTCACATTACATTTTAATAAAAAAATAGTTTTAGATTCTTCATCAACTTAAAAGAAACGAATCTAATTTATTTAATTCTTAATTTTAGGCATATATAACTTGTTATACAAGCATAAAATATTAAATTAATATCCCTCTGTATACGTGTCCAAATTGTGTATACAATATATCAAATGAAAGATAATTTCAACAGCTATGCATGGACATAAAATTTACGTAATTCTAATTTATAACTAGAGAGATATTGCCAAAAAACAATTTAAGACAAATCCCAACGCGACACGTGTCACGTTACTGTTCCTTTTTCATACTTTTTCGTTTTTCTGCAAGTCGGTCGAAACTTACAACCCTTATATCTCTCAGAATACGTGATAATATTTTAAGTGTAATATATCAATAGAAAGACAATTTCAAGATCTACGCACGGACTTAAACTAAATGTGATTCCGATCTATAATTAGAGATATATGATCAAAACAATATTTTCGATTTACTAATTATATATTTTTCTAAATTCATGCAATATACTTCGATTCTAAATGCAATAGTTTTTAGAGGAATTCAGGACATTATGATGAACACATGTGTAAGTTTCATTTTATCATATATTTATAGATACACTATTTTTAATTATTTTTAACATTAACATTTTTTTTCATTCATGAGGAATAAATTCAAGTAACTCATATTACTTGTCATCCTTTAGTACTAAATATGTTAATATGCCAGAGCCGGATCCAAATGCTCTGATACCAATGTTATAATTTCTAATGCGGAAGTGCGTTAAACCGAAATCTACCTTAGCCCAGTTCAGTGACGAACGCTATTTGATTCAATCGGGCAAGAGTCAGGGATGAAATCTCAGATGTAAATCAACCACTTTTCACCGTTCAAATGCCCTTCTAGTTGATTCCTTGAAGCTTTCTCTCTCTAAAACGTTTTACTCTCTCTCTAGAATTATTTTCTTATTGCTTGGATTGTTCTTTTCTCTTTGCAATGTATCTTATTTATAGACAACTAAGGGATACATTGTTAACAGTCACATATGTTCAAGGAAGAGACATATATTTTCTAGAAAGCAACAAGTCAGTTAGATCTGGTTTGGCAGTAAGCTTGCAGAAGTCTTTGTTCTTTTCTTCTGGCTTAACTGATGCGGAGCGTGATCTTATTCAGTTTTCTACTGGCATGCCGCAAGGCACTCTTCCAGTTCGGTACCTTGGAGTACCTCTATACACCAAAAAGCTTACATTACTGAACTGTGAAGGACTTATCTAGCAAGTGAAAAGGAAATTCAATTCATGGAGTGTGAGAGCATTATCTTTTGCCGGATGTCTTCTACTAATCAAGACGGTTATCGCTTGAATTACAAATTTCTGGTGCTCCTCATTTGTACTTCCTAAGGCTTGTATCAAACGTATTAACTCCCTCTGTGGAGTATTCTTGTGGAGAGGAAACACTGAGGAACATCATACAACAAAGGCCAGTTGGGAAACGGTAACAAAACCAAAGAAAGAAGGAGTACTTAGAGTGAGAAACCTTATTCTATGGAATAAGCGTGTATAATGAAGCTGATTTGGCTCCTCTTCTTCCAAGCCGGATCTATTTGGGTAGCATGGTTCAAGGAAATAATTCTTAATGGTGATCTCAGCTCCTTCTGGACGATTCAACCTAGCACAAGGAACTCATGGTTAGTCAATCAATTACTAAAATTGAGAGGAGAGATATAAGACTGGATCAAAATGAGGGTCGGGAATGGCAATACCTGTCATTTTTGGACAGATAATTGGTTGCCTTTTGGATCTGATAAGCCTTGGAGGGTGTATTTCCGTAAGAAGAGGAGTGGGGGGAAAGGCAGTGAAGAGGAGCAAGAAGTCTTGGATGCTGACGTGGACTGGTTTGTTACGAAGCAGTTAGTTCCGTTAGAGTCAGTTACGAATAGTAAAGAGTATAAATAAGAAGTTTGTATGTAGAGAGAGTCAGCTTTTGAGTATTGTAAATGATCTTAGACTTGAGGTCTGGATCTTAGGCTTGTAATTCTAAAGTGTGAATTACAAGAGAGGGAGGTTGGGCGGAATAAATTCATATTACAAACAGTCTCTTATCAATTGGTGCGGTGAGCGACTCGGAGTACGCGGTCAAGACGACGATGACGAGATTGGAGGAATCGATGCAACGAATCGGCGCATTAGACAACACAGTCAATGAGTTACGGCGGCGATTTGACAGTCTGGACGAGCGATTAATCGATTCGTCGCAACATCAGAGATCAACAATCAAACGAAAGAGACAAAGATGGATGATCGGTTCGCAAATCTTGAATCCTCACTAACATCTCTCATCTCTTCACTTCAGCAACAAAATCAACGAGCAACACAACCGGAATCGAGCGATGCTGACTTGACGCAACAAGATCCACAAAATCTCAATCAGGTATCTCCTAGACATTTCGAACATTACCGGAGAGAATCAGAGCTAGGTTATCGGCCAGTAGAACAGAGGAGTGAGAATAGAAAAGAATTGTATAAGAAA